AAGAGTTACGGTCTTGGAAACCCACAGGAGCAGCCCCATACTGTCCTAAAGGGCAGCTATGGGTCAGAATTGACCCCATGGGGGTCAGTTTTGTTTTTTTAATAAGAAACAGGCAAATTTCTAGAGACATTCTACCTGCCCAAACTGTCTGAGGTAGAAATTTGAATAGATAAACTTGAATAGATCATAAAGAAAGCAAAACAGAAAAAAAAACAAAACACCAAACAAAATCAAGTGGCTTCACTGGCAAATTCTATCACATGTTCAGAGACGAGCTGGCACCAATTCTGATAACAAAGGGTGAAATACCCCCCAACCTCATTCTATGAGACAAGCATAGACAAGCCTGAGAAAGAGATGTGTAGACCGATTGCCCTCATAAATATGGATGGCAAAATTCTCAATAAAATTCTAGCCAATAGGATTCATCAACTTATAAAAAGAAAAATCATACATCATGACCAAAGGAGATTGACACCATGGACGCAAAGATGTTCAGCATCAGCGAGACAACCCTAGTGGCCCTGGGAGGCCCACAGTGGCATGCCAGCCGAAGTCTGCCGCCAGCCCACCAGGCGATCCGCAGGAGAACTGTGGGGAACAGAAAGATTTCTCTTAAGTTGCCTCCCCAAAATATATGCCAGACTTAGCTTGAGAATGACTGTTCACTAGGCAGCGAAAGTAGGTCAGAGGTCATTCTCCCTAACATCAGCCATCTAGACTATAGTCTGACTCACCCTAAATAAGACCCACTCCCTTCTGATAAGGATAGTGGTGGTGTTTACTTGCAGGAGATACCAGAGAGGGCAGACCCGCCCAAGGATGACTGAGGTTAGGTAGCCATTACCAGCTGTCTAGATCAAGCAGACACCACTGTTTATCCCACAACAAATGTGGGCACACCCCTAGGTCATCCCCCTCCTAATGATTGTATTGCCTATGTTGCTACCCCTCCCTGTGACTTAGGTTATTGTCTGCTATCAGGGGACTTGCATGCCTCCCAGAATAGTAATTGTCTGTTTTATTGTAT